CAGCCGCCGCTGCCGTTGCCGCCGACGCCGTTGCTGCTGTCGCCGCGGGGCCGGCAGCGGGCGCAGCGCTGTCGTAGAAGAGGCTTTGCAGCCGCAGGTGGTGCAGCAGGCGCCGGAAGTAGGGCTCGTGGGGGCCCAGCTCCGCGGCCCAGTCCGTGTCCGACGGCGGGATCTACAGGGGTTTGCAAAATCGGGGTTGAGAGGTTCAGGCATCTTCAGGCCAGAGGTGTTGTGCTTGGTGTTCGGTGTGGGGTGTGAAGCAGCCGACCCACAGCCGGGGGGTGGGGCGAAGCGCGTTTGGAGCTGGCTGCCGCCGAGTTGTCGCCCGTGGGCGAGCATCCGGCTGGCCAGGCAGGGGCGTGGAGGCAGGCATGCAGGCAGGTGTCCTCAAGGCGTTGAGACGGCGGGAAGGTGGCGGGAAGGTGGCGGGAAGGTGGCGGGAACGCGCATGGCGCTTGCCTCGAGCGAGTGCAGCGCCTGCAGGGCGTCCACGACGGCAGCGAAAGCATCGGGCTGGAACGGCCTGGTGGCGTTGTGAGGCGGGGCGCGTATTTCGGTGGGTTGGCCTCGTTTCCAAGCAGACCGCGTGCCATGTTATGCCCCGCACAGCGACAGACCCGAACCGGCGGGCCGAGAGTGAACGCGGCGCTTGGTCTGCCCGCGCGCAGCCCCAGCCCCGGCGCCAGCTCAGGGAGAGCGCCACTCACAGGAAGGGACGGCCCAGCGCGTCCCGCGGCGGCGCGGCGGCGCCGCCGGAGAACATGTCGCGCAGCAGGCCGCCGCCCGGCCGCAGCAGCGCCGCGCGGAGCGCCCAGACCTCCCGTCCGCTGACGTTCAGCGCCAGCACCTCCCCGTCCCCGCCGCCGCCGCCGCCGGCCCGTGGCGCTGGCGCGGCCGCCGGCGGGGCGCCGGTATGCGCCGCGGCGAGCCGCTGCTCCAGCTCTGAGACCTGCTGCAGCAGCCGCTCGTTCTCCTTGCCTAATCTCTCCGCATGCTCCTCCGCCCCGGCCTGCGGTCGAATGAGTCCAACCAGCGGGGTGCAGGCGCCGCACCGCGTTTGAAAAACGGCAGAGCACGAGACGCCCTGGCCGCCATGCTCGGGCTCGCCCCGCCCGCAGCCGTCGGGCGCACGCGCTGCGCCGCCCGTTGCTGTGGACACTGGGCAGTGGACCCCGCCCTGGCCCTCAGAGCAGCCAGCTGTTGGAGGATCCTGCCCCTCCCCCCTTTCTCTTGTCTCACTTCGGCGCCGATCTGGCCACGCAGTATGGCTATCTCCCTGTCCTTGGCATCGACGACGCACTGCGGCGGCGGCGAGCAGACGCATGGCAATCTTCACCCGGTCCATGGCAGGACGCCCCTCGGTTGCTGCGAGTGCGCACGCGCACTAATCGCATGCGCGCCGTCATGCAGGGGATCGGCAGTGGCGCGAACGGAGACAGATTTGACCTGCCTGCAGCTGCAGCGTCTCAAGGGCCGCCTGCGCCAGCTTAGCCTCTAGTTGAGCAGCATCTGACGGGTCGTCCGGCTTGCGAGCAGCACCGCCGCCGGCCCCGCCCTCGGCCGCCGCTGACATGGAGCTCAGCAGTGGGAGGAGGGCCGAGACCGCAGCAATGAAGCTGTACTACGTGCGGGATGGCCACGCCTATTGACGCTCAAAGACTGCCACTGCACACCTCTACGCGTGCCGATAGGTCCTGCTTGAACGCACAGGGCGAGGGGGCCCACGCTGAAACAGTTCGAGGAGTGTGCCAGAGTGACACGAGTAAGGGATGTGGATATGCAGAAAGGGAACGTTGATTGCCATTGATTGAAACTAATCTTGTTCAAGGCAACATCTCGCGAAGCAGCCCAGAGCCACAGTGCCTTTGCGAGAGGATCTGGCCGCGATTTGACAGCCCGTCCTAGGGTGCAGGCGGGAACAGCGCAGAAGTGAGTCTTGAAACCCACTGATTTTGCCAGGAGCAAGCAGTCGAGCGATCTGGAGGCAGCATCAGCCCTTGCCACAGCCATCAGCACCCTTCGCTGCGCAGCAGCTGCCACAGTCATCGGCTGCCAAGGATAGCTGCTCTTAGGACCCTGAAGCATGGCCTGTGGCGTCAATGCGCCCGCGCACAGGGCTTGCAGTGGTTGCGCAGCTGCAGCGCATCGCCTTGTGAGCGCCGCATGCTGCATCACGTCGCACAACGCACCCCCCATACATCGCAGGCAACATGCTTGAGGAGGCGCTGCCCCTTGCGGTGGGCGTGGGGGTCGCACTGTTGCCATGCCTGGCGTTCGGCGGCCTCTCGGCGTTCCGCGCCTTTGCCATCTTGGGCGGTGGTGAGTGCGCTGGCGGGCGGGACGAGCTCGGCGTCGCGTTGCCCTCCCTCTGTACGTCAGCAATGCTGGCGCTGCGTTTTAGGAGGGGTATTGGATGTTTGACCAGCAGCAGTAGTCCCCGAGGAGGTCTGGTGCAGCAAGAGCAGCAAGTTGCTGCGGCGTGGAAAGCGGGCATAGCTGTTCGTAAACAAGGGCGGCTGACGCGGCGTGGTTGATGGGTTTGGGGTTTTTACTACGACTTCTGTGCGAGCGGGGCAGGTGTAGCCGACGCTTGGTGCCTCCCAGGAGCACCAGGCCGAGTCGCTCGATCAGCGGCAGTGCAGCACCCCAGCACAGCAGGAGACGGGGCACACCCAACAGTCTCTTGTCGCGCGGCTGGTCGGCTTGTCCCCTGCGCGCGACTCTCGTTTGCGGCGAAGGCCTGTGCCTCCTGCCCTGTTGGATTTCACCGGGCGGTGTGGCCGGCCCCAGCGTCACCCACCACTTCACCACTCCGCGCCCCGCAACCCCTCACCATGCCCGCCGTCGACCCGCCCTCCCACCTTCCCACCAACCACCTCAACAGAGGACTCGGGGTTCTTCAAGGCCCTTGAGGAGGGTAAGACTGAGGAGGAGGCCCTGGCGGCGACCCAGGGCGCCCAGCCCACCATCCACACGCCCTACGAGCCCATCGCGCGCGTGGCCCCGGCCGCGCAGACCCCCGTGGTGGCGCACTCCGTCGTGGAGCGCCGCGCGGCGGCGCCGTCCTACGGCTTTGCGGCGCGCTACCTGCAGTGACCGCAGTCGCTGGTGCAGGGATGCTAGCGGTCGGGCGAACGGAAGTCGGGCGGTTCCTCAGCGCCACGCCACCTGGGTTGGCGGCCGCACGTCCTGAAGAGACAGATGCGGCAGCCTTGAAAGAGCTGCTGCCCATCGGCTTGAAGCTTGTTGTTTTGATGGGGCGTGAGCTGTTGTGACGGACGCGCCGTGTAACGCTTCACATTGCATAACCCTACATTCCATCACGCTTTGCCAGCAGCAAAGATAAGGGGAAAATCCTGGCTCGCCTTGGGGGGCTATGCCCCCAACCTCATACGCCAGAGGAGCAAGTGGGGAAACACGGATGCACAACTGCTGCATTTGAGGAAATCCTGCCCACACGCATGCACAGCGCAGCAGGCGCTCCTGCTAGCCATGCACATGCCTTTTTCAGAAAGCCGCTCCTGCGCCACGCACAAAACAACATGCAGATTGTTGGCTTGCGTGGCTGAAAGGGATCTTAGGGCAAACTTTGCCCAAGACTTGAAGTTATGGGCTTCCGGCTGCATTGCCAGCAGGACCTCCCAGCGAAGGTCGAGGACCCCCACAATCCACTGCCAGAGGCGTGGCCGCGCCATCCAACGCGCGCTTCACCGCCGCTGCCGCCTCCGTGCCCAGGCCCCCTGTGCTGCAGGGCCGGCGTCGTCGGCCCGGCGCCACGGGCGCGAGAGCGCAGACAGCTCTGCAGGTGAAGGCGCGCTGGCCAGCAATGACCCCCGGCAGCACGGCGCGACCTCCTGCGCCCCCTCCCATTGTACCAACAAGGGCCAGCGCGATCGGCATGCAGGCCGCCGCTTCACACAAACAGGACGCGCCTCGTGCTATGTGATACACTTGGCGCCATGCTCTTGAGCTGCAGCGCACGGCTCAACTACGTGGCGTCTGTCACGCTCGTTTTGTCTGCCGCCGCGGGCGCCTTCAGCGCCCCTTGACCGGCTTGCATGCCTGCTTATGGCTGCCCTCGACCCAATCCTTCCTGGCGCAGGCCTCGCTGCAGTACCTGCAGGCCAGGATCAAGATTAGGATGAGAAATGGTGCGTGTGCAGGATGTTGAAAGCTGGGCGCTTGAGACAGGGCCTTGGTTGGGGAAGTCGAAGCTGATTGCGATTCCATGCATGCCTGCAGCGATACCTACACACCAGTGATTAGGTACTTAAGCAGGTTGAGGGCAACGCGTGCGCAAGCAGTCGCGTGCAAGCGTGCGCAGCCGCATGCGCGCGTTTGCGCAGCCGCGCGGGTGCATGCCCGCGCACACAATCACACACACACACACACACACGCGCACACACACACACACACACACACACGCGCACACACACACACACACACACACACACACACACAAACCGTCATGCATGCACGAGCAAGTACACAAGTCTTCACCTGACAGCCCTGCACCCACGGCAAAGCCGCAGCCTCACGCCCTCCTCTGCCTGCGTCCTGCCACACGCGGCGCACGCCGCGGCCAGCCCTGGCTGGCCCCGCGCCTCCCCAGCCTCCGCCTCCGCCGCGGCCGCGCCTCGCAGCCGCCCCAGCACCCGCGCCGCCGCTGCGGTAGCATCCATGCGCGCCCACGCTGCAGGCTCAGCCGCCACGGCCGCCAGTGCCGCCTCCAGGCCCTCGACACCAACAATCAACTCTACAGCTGCCGCCCCGACTGCAGTCAGGCGGTCGAGACCCTCGATCAAGTCGCCTACTGTCGGCATGATGGCCTCGTCACAGTCCATGGTTGATATCTCATCGAGCGCGTGGAGACGCACCAAGAGGGGGGCGCTCACCGATGATGTCATCGCGCGCACAATGGCCGCAGCGGCCGCGGCCAGCAGACCAGGCGCGGCGGCGACGGCGGCGAGCCGCTGCGGGCCGGACTCCTCAGCGGCCTCCACCAAGGCAGCGGCAACCGCAGCAGCGCCGTGGCAGATGCCACCGTCGGGTCTTGATATATGGTGTGCAAGCGCTGGCAAAACGCTGCCCGGAAGGGCGATATCAAGGAACGCCGCCGCAGCCGCCTGGTCCCCTCGAATCAACTCTGCCACCGCCCGCACCACGCAGGCCGCGGCGCCCGGGGTGCCGGCGGCGGCCGTGCGTCGCAGCGCCACCGCGAGGGCGGCAAAGGTGGCGGGGCGCGTATTCATGAGCTCGGCACGACCCGGCTCGAGGTGGCTGAGGAATGCTATGCAGCTCGCAGCCGACTCCAAGCTGTCCGGACGACTCATCAGCCGCAGCAGCGCGGGCAGCACGCGTGCAGCAAGCGCCGCACGCACCGCAGCGAGGCGCGTTCCATCGGTGCGCAAGAGGGCATCCAGCAGGACGACGGCTGATCTGACATATTCTGATGACTCGAGCCGCACGACGCCGCGCGCTGCAGCGTCTACGATGGCCGGGGTTGCTGCAGCCACGTTTTCGCGCGCAACCTCGGATTCTCCGCCCTCTGAGGCCCCCGTACGTCCGGCCTCTGCGCGGCCCAGCTCCCGTAGAACCATTGCCAGGAATCCCGAAGCCGCGCCGGCTTTGGCGCTGGTGCCGCCGCCCGCCACCTGCGCCGCCGCATGGAGCAGCCCGGGCTCGCACGCGGCGCGCACGGCGACGCGCGGGCCGCCGCTCACGACCAGCTGGCAGAGGGGGATGAGGCTGTTGCACCCGTCGGGACGTGCACCGGCCTCGCACAGCGCATCAAGCAAGTGCGGCACCTGGAGCGCAGCGGCGCACACCTCCTCGCAGGTCATCAGCCTGTTCAAATCCACCAAGACGGGTTCGACAATGTATGAATTGCCTCGCCAGCAATGCAGGCATTCGGCCAGGGCTTGTAGCATGCCAGGGGTACGGCCGATCTGCGGCAAGGGTGCGGGTGTGGGTGCGGGTGTGGGTGCGGGGTGCGGTGAGAGGGTGGTTGGGGCTGTTGCCATGCCCGTTGATGGGCGCGGCAACTCCCTAAGCGTGCTGTTGATATGTTGCGTTTTGCCGCCGCTGTGCCAGACACAACCCATGTGGAGGGCTCTGCGAATGCCTCGCACCTGCTGCCGCCGGCAGCCAGCCTGATTTGTGCAGGCCCGATTGTCGGTGAATCCCTGCAGCAGCGCCCTTACGGTTGCCGCCGCGGTGAAGCACCGGAGCATCCGCGCGCGCATGTCGCCGCCGCTCCCGCAGCTCTCGACAAGCGCGCGCTGCAGCGCCGAGAGCAGCCGCGGCGGCAGCAGGGTGTCGGGCGCGGCGAGCGAGGCTGCTTGCAGCTCCTCATCGGCTGCCTTCAAGGCGTCGAGGGTGGATTTATCCTGCGCGACGCGAGCGCCGGTGCGGCGCAGCTTACAGTCCAGATCGAGCACGCGCTGCAGGGCGGTCTCGAGGCGAGCCTGGGCGGCAGTGGCCATGCTGGCTGTAATGGATACACGATGGCGCTCCTGCACGCGCGAGGTTCACGCAGAATCATGTCAGCATGTCAAAGCACCGGTAGTGGCATTGGCGGGTCGGGGCTAGGTGCGCATGCAGACCGCAAACCAGGCGCCACCCACTGCCGCTCATCAGCATCAACAGTGCGGGGTGGTGGCTGAAGTCGTGGCGCATCCATGTGCGCGATAATAGCTCACGAGGTCAGCTCTTGACTGCCTCCAAAGGGCTTTGAAGTACGGTATGATCCGCTCTCGCGTCTTGAGATCACTCAGACTTTGCCGCTCGCGTTTGAAGGTTTCGACAAGGGATTATAAGGCATATGTAATAAATTTACGAAGTCATGTCGTGAAGACCCGAGGTATCTCGCGCGTAGGACACCAATACCATGCAAACCTGCAACTGCCTTGGACAACTGCCATCACCCCAACCACCACCACCGCCTCGCTCGGACGCCACGCAAACACCCACGATCATGCGCCATCGCGCACGAAGAACCACGCCCCCGCCGCGGCAGCGCCCCGTCGCCCCCCCTCTCCCGTCCCGCACGCCCCGGCCGACCAGGGCGAAGTGTTACCGCCGCCGGCCGGGCGAACCGTCACCACGCGCCGCACTGTGTCACAAGCCCGCTTTCCCGTGGGCTCGGCGGCGATTTTGGTGAGAGGTGCCTCGTGCGAACTCCGCAGGTCAGCAGATGGTTGAATCAGTGCAAAGGGCACTGGTGCTGGGAAGCCTGCGGGCCACCTCTGTGTAAAGCCCTGCCCGCAGCACGGCGGCGCCGCCCTATGGCTTCGCAGCGCGCTACCTGCAGTGATGGCCGACGCGGTCACACTGATGCTAGCGGTTGGGCGCGCTGAAGCCAGGCCGATTCTCAGCCCCTGCCACCTGGGTTGGCAGCGGCCGCATGTCCAGAAGAGAGAGGGGCGGCGGCGTTGGACGAGCCGCTGCCCCTTGGCTTGACACTCGTTGTTTTGATGGGGCGTGCGCTGTCATGGAGGATGCGCCGTGAAACGCTTCACATGTTCTGGGGATCTCTTCGCAATCTGCTGAGACAGTGTGTAAGGGGCCCTCCGCTCGTCAGGCCTTGGCGGTTGAGCAGTGTTGGGCACTGCATGCGTGCAGCAGACAATGGCACGCGTTTTGGTGGTGGTGGTGGTGTTGCTGCCGTAGCGTACATCGTTCACGCGCTGCTATTCCAAAGAGCCCGTGCAGCCAAGCGACACTCATGACGCGCGCGTCTGATGACAGGCAGTGACTGGGAGATACAGCACAATACCACACCTGAGCGATGGGCGACGGCAGTTCCCAGAGGTATGCGGCAATGATAGGTGGTTGAATCGCTTGATCAGATAACTGCAGTATCTGGTCTAGTGCAGGCATTATTGTGAGGCGCACCTTGGACTTGGCTTGCTTCACCTCACTGCGTGCCCCTACCCCTCGTCCTTCTATTTTTCAGCCTGCAAGACTTCAGACGCTGAACCTGATTTGATGAGCCGGCCTTGGAGGTCTCTGCGTGCGTCAGCACGAGCAGGGGCACGCATCGTCGGTCACGCGCAGGAGTGTCGGGTGCCCGCACATGCGCTTGTAGCCATGCGGCAAGGAAGCATCGTTGGCTGGTCACCTTGGTCAAACAATCCAAGCACACACGAAACGGCGTCCAAGTTCGCCATCTTGCCTTGCCTTCCAGGGTCACATCGCTTGGACCGTGGCTGTGTGGCACAAGGCCGCATCGCGTCCCTGAAGGCCAAAATTGCTGCTTAAACTTTCTTCTTCCGCTGTTGTGCGGGTGCAACCCGCATCTGTCCTTCCGCTGTCTGTGATTGCGTGGCAGAGCCAGGGGAGGGCTGGCGTGCCTTGAGAGCAAATAATTTCCCATGGGTGAGTGCGCGACGGTTGGGAAGGCAGGGCCAAAGACTGGGAGCATGGCTGCGTTGGCACTTGCACCTGGCTGCGTCTCGGCATGCGCGTGTTGCCGCTGCATGCAATCCTGTGGTTTGACCCAGCCTCTGCCGCGTCGCCCGCAGGCAATGCCCAGTCATCCCAGGCAGGGGATGATGGTGACAAGGGGGCCGGCGCGGCCGCGCACGGAGACGACCTGGATGGCAGCAGCAGCATCGGCAGGCTGCAGCAGCAGCAGCGTCCCTCCGACAAGGATGCACAGCAGCAGCAGCACCACCACCACCACCAACAACACACGCAACGCATCTCGGACCGCGCGCCGCCATCCAGTGGCGCGACGGCCGGCCACCAGCAGCCGCGCCGCAGCCGGGCCGCCGGCGCGGGCGCGGGCGCGGGCGGCGGCGCCGCCGCCGCCGACGCAGCCGCAAACAGCCGCTTGTTAGTCGACATCCGCGTCGGCGCCGCCGACGCCGCCGACAAGCCGCCGCCGGCGCGCCGTCGCAGCGCGGTGACGGCCGAGGCTGTGGAGGGC